TGGACTGCAGCACCTCATGGTAGCAGCTCACTACTACCTTTAGAAGCGAAATTAGGAATGAGCAATAAATGCTGGCATAGCCAGTCAGAGTACATCCTGTGAGGGATTGAAAATAAGGGCTGAGTTAGGTTAAAAATGTCTTGCTTAAATCCACATCTTTCAATACCATGCATGTTAATAAAGTTAATTTTCTTTGGGGACCACGTTAAAAAGTACACACAACACAGTTTAGTAAAGAAGGGATGTAATTTATAATAGTAGTCACATTCAATTAACAGCATTATATGTTTAAAGCTTATTATTTACTTTGGGTTGCAGACTGAATTTAAATTCTTATTGAGGTCCTAAATTGACAATTTGTTTGCACTTTGTTATATCACAGAGATGAATGAAAGAAATCTATTTATCAGATGTAAAATTCTAATTCACCATCTCTCAAAACCAACCATCATGAATATAACCAAGTAGAAATATTTTGGAAAATTAAGGCTGCACACTTACAATATCATGCATCCTCCACACAATCGTTATCCATCTTTCACCCTCTCCTCTCAAATAATCAGCAATCAACCACCCAATCTCATCACTATCAGTCAAGCAACCCTCTCAGCCAATAAGCAATTTGCAGTTATGTATATTTGATGTGGTAAAACTCAAGGGTCTTCTCAAGAGTATTATCAAACAAAATTCTTCCTGATCTCAGTCCTGAATGGCTTTATTCTTAGACTGTTACCCCTAGTTCTGGATTTCCCCAACATCGGGAACATTCTTCCCTCATCTAGCCTGTCCAGTCCTATCAGGATTTTATACGTTTCTCTGACATCCCCCCTCATTCTTCGAAGTTTCAGCGAGTACAAGCCCAGTCAATCCACTCTTTCTGGTGAACCTTCGCTGGATTCTCTCAATAGCAAGAATATCCTTCCTTGGACTAGGAGACCAAAACTATAGAGGGCCCTGTATAGCTGCAGCAAGACATCTGTACTCAAATCCTCTAGCCATGACGGCCAGCTTTTCTCACCGCTGCACCTGCATGCTAACCTTTAGTGACTGTTCCACCATGAAACCCAGGTCTCGTTGCACCTACCTTTTTCCTAATCTGCCACCATTTAGATAATAATGTGTTTCTGATTTTACCAAAGTGAAAAACCTCATTTTGTTGACATTATATTGCATTTACCAAGTATTTGCCCACTCACCAGCCTGTCTAAGTCACCCTGCAGCCTCTTAGTATTCCTCCTCACAGAACACACTTCTGCCCGGCTTAGTGTTGTCTGCAAATGGTGATATTGTATTTGATTCCTTCATCCAAATCATTAATCTATATTGTTAACAGCTGGGGTCCCAGCAGTGAACCCGGTGTTACCCCACTCATGACTGCCTGCTACTCTGAAAGGGACATGTTTATTCCAACGTTCTGCTTCCTGTCTAACCAGTTCTCTACCCATGTCAGTACAATACCTCTGATACTGTGAGCGTTAATTTTGCTTACTAATGTCTTGTGTGGGACCTTGTCAAAAGACTTTTCAAAGTCCAGATACACAACATTCACTTATTCACTCTTGTCCACTGTACTGGTCACATCCTCAAAAAATTCCAGACTTGTCAAGCATGATTTCCCTTTAGTGAATCCATGCTGACTTGGACTGATCCAGTCACGGCTTTCCAAATGCTGAGTTATTACATCCTCCAACTGCTTCCAGCATTTTCCCCATCACCAATGTCCAAGTAACGAGCCTATAATTCCCTATTTTCTCTCTCCCACCTTTTCTAAAAAGGTGGGGTTACATTAGCTACCCTCCAGTCCACAGGAACTCTTCCAGAGTCTACAGAATGCTTTAACATGATCACCAAAGTGTCTACTATTTCTAGGCCTACTTCCTTAAATATTCTGGGATGCAGAGCATCAGGCCCCGGGCACTTATCGGGTTTTAACCCCATCAATTTCCCCAATACTATTTCCTGACTAATAAGGATTTCCTTCAGTTCCTCCTTCATGCTTGACCCTCTTGCCCCTGGAATTTCTGGAAGATTATTTGTTTATGACTCCAATCAGCGGAGAGTTTGCCCCCTGACAGCCATCTATTCCAATTTTCCTAGGGCTCCTTAATGCCACTCAGTTGAACGCAGCCTTGATGTCAAGGGCTGTCACTTTGACCTCACCCCTGGAATTCAACTCTTTTGTTCATGTTTGGAGCAAGGCTGTAATGAGGTCAGGAGCCGAGTGGCCCTGATGGAACCTAAACTGGGTGTCACTGAGCCAGTTCTTGCTGAGCAGGTGCTGCTTGACAGTATTGTTGATGACACCTTCCATCACTTTACTGATGTTTGAGAGTAGACTAATGGGGTGGTAATTGGCTGGGCTAGATTTATCCTGCTTGTTATGTACAGGACATACCTGAGCAAGTTTCCACATTGTTGGGTAGATGCCAGTGTTGTAACTGCACTGGAAAGCTTGGCAAGGGGAGCAGCAAGTTCTGGAACACAGCATCTGTGAAGAGAAAATCAGAGTTAACGTTTCGGGTCCGGTGACCCTTCCTCGGAACTGAAGCGTTAACTCTGATTTTCTCTTCACAGATGCTACCAGGCCTGCTGAGCTTTTCCAGTAACTTCTATTTTTGTTACTGATTTACAGCATCTGCAGTTATTTTGGTTTTTATTTAGAACGATTGCCGGAATGTTTTCAGGGCCAATAGCCTTTGCAGAATCCAGTATCTCCAACCATTTCTTGATATCACATGGTGTGAACTGAATTGGCTGAAGACTGGTATCTGTAATGCTATGATCACTGGAGGACGTTGAGATGGATCATTTACTTAGCGCTTCTGGCTGAAGACTGCTACGAATGCTCAGCCTTATCTTTTGTATTCTTGTGTTGGGCTCTTCCATCATTGAGGATGAGGATATTTTTAGAGCCTCCTCTTCCAGTGAGTTGTTTAATTGTCCACCACCATTCACGATAGGATGTGGCAAGATTGCACGACGTAGATCTGATCCTTTTTTGTGGGCTCGTTTAGTTCTGTCTATCACTTGCTGCTTAGGCTTTTTGGCATGCAACTAGTCCTGTTGGCTAGCTTCACCAAGTTGACGTCTCATTTTTAGGTATGCCTGGTGAACTTTTGAAGCAGAATCCAGGGTAAAGTTACATTTTTGTGTATTTGGCAGAAAACGCGCATTCATACATAAACAAAATGAAATTCTATATTTTAAATAACTCCATATTCAAAAAGTAAAAAAGAATGCTCCTGAAATAAAATAAATATTCTTGTCTCTGTGCACACACCTATCTACAATTATAATGGGAACATTCTGCAAAACATTTCAAAAATATCCTTTTCACTTGAATACATGCTTTGACACTTTTTTCTACGTGTAAACTGAAGCATCATCTGGAAATATCAGTGTAATATAATACCGATACAGTAATATATCAATAAATAATTTCAGGATTACTACCATTCTAAAGCAGCAACCTAAAGGGTTTTTTTGTATACGTTTGATTAAATGCAGTCAGAGCAATGAACTTACACAGGATTATTAGAATATTTGGCTGTTCACCTGCCCTTCTCAATTAACTAAAGCTGAACAAAATGACTTTTCTGTAAATACTAAATAAGATTTTAAGTTTGACTGTTTACAGCATAGCACCATTTTAACATAAATGTATACAGTATATAAAACTAAACTATCCATTTAAAAATCAGAATGATGAAATACGTACAACTGACACAGATTGAAAGGGATTTGTGGCATCAAAGAAGAGAAGAACCGTTCCCTCAAGTATTCTAAATTTCACATAAATTCAGAAACTTCAATCTCTATCTTTTAAACCTTCTGGAGACAGCAATTAGATAAACACCCTTTAAACCAAGAGGTCTACTGTATGAGATATATGAAGCAGTTTTGGCAAGAGTTAGAACTGTTAGAAATACTGTATTGAAGTACAAAGGCCACAGCATGCTACAGGTTTACAAATGAAGAGGAAAATCATTCCAAGGATTGCATTGTACGCAACATAATAGAATTAAATAACAGAGAGAACACACATTTTTCAAGAGTAATAATTAGGGAATATAAATTAGACAGGGGTTTTCATTTTAAAAAGAAGAGGAATTTATCAGTACAATATAGAATTAAAAAATATAGCTCAAAAAAAGATCAAGGCCTGACATTGTTTAGATTATAGATTCAAATAAAAACTCATTTGTGATCATACAAAGATAAGCCACCAAATTGTCAGAACAAACACTATAAGGAATGACATTACAAAAGGAATGTGAGGGCGTTGAAATGCGACAGAATAGAGATGACAAGGCTTAATTTTAGGTTTGTCATCAGGAATCTGAATGGAAACTCTTTGGGAGCTTTCTTCTTTGTTTTCTTGTGTAAATGCAGTCCCTGTTGTTTCCTGTTTTCCTTCTATCTTATCTTCTTCCTGTACTAACAGAGGCATTTTCTTTGTCTGCTTTCATGACAGAAGACCAAGAGAAAAAAAGAGATGAACAAATGCAAGATGGAAAACTGAGTTGGAAATAAAAATGGTGTGCAAAAGGAAGGGAACAATGTGGCAGAGGAAGAAGAAATTAAAAAAATGTAGTGAAGATTTGGGCTTGAGGATTTTTCCTATGTGGATTTTTATCTTTAAACTTCAGAATTTAACAGGGAATGATAGCAAGGGTGAGGTGTATTTTAGGGAACAAGGAGGAAAGGGAAAAAAAGAATAAAATGTAAAAATATTGTAACAGAACAGGGTTCAGTTGCACTTTGGTAGTTTTTTTTTGAAAGCATATGGCTATTTCTTCATGCAACCTTTAACCAGCCATGCACTGTTTAGTAGGCATTCTGAAAGCTGCAGCAGTGGAAATCTTCCGTTAGTTTTGGGAATTTTAAGAGTAGAAAAACTAATGTCCGTTGTCAAGCAACTAAAATAAAATTTAGCACTGATGAAGTCTGCTTCAGCAAATAAAATATCAGCAATCACAGCACAATTGTAACAACATTACCTCTGGCCCACCAAGCTTCTTTTCAGGACGTAGGCCTGAAATCACCATGGCCTGTACATATATAAAGTTAGTTATTTTAGATATTTGGAGTACATTTTTCTTATAAGCACTCAATGGCAACACAGCTGTGAATTACTTAAGTACACAGACTTCCTAATACATTAAAACATCTCCATTATGTAACATATGGGTAATGATTAGAAGTCATTAAATTCAATTTAGACAGGGCACTTTCATTTTAGTTTTCTTTAAAATGTCATACTACCATGTGACTACTATGTCACAGCTTACATCTTGTGAAACATTGTAACTGTTGTTGGAAGTTTTGCTTACTTTCTCTTTTAAGTATATTTATTTAAAAAGGCAAGAACATTTCCTAATTAAGAAAATGGATGTCTTATCATTTCATATTTTTATTGTATGCTTTTCACTCAAAATTCAAGTCTTAAAGGAAAGATCTGAAAGTTGACATATATAGAAGTTTAAGGATAGAATGACAATATTTGCTGATCAAGATGAAATCTGTTCAGCTCAGTCTCCAGCACATGAGATGGTTAATGGCTGCAAAATAATCCAGTTGGTTAAGCATATCTTGTGGGAACAGATTTCTACCCTGGCTCCAGCCTCAGTTCTAGTTTACTTGACCTGTGAAAAACCTCAATCTGAATTGAGAATGGAATTTTTTTCTGAAATACTCAGCACTTTTCTTAGATGTGCTAGATAATTTCTCAACAGGTTACAAAGTTAAGCTAAGTTCTATTTGCATTATATTTTGGTATTTTTCCTCTGTCTTGGGAATAATGTTTACGTTAAATTCCATTCTTATTACATGCAATTCTCAGCTTTTTCCCAAATATTGCAGATCACAATCTGCCAGTCACCCTGAAAACTGTACATCAGCGCCGTTAAAACACAAGGCCACTTCTTTGCCTGCCTGTTTGTGTTCACGCACTGGCTGATGCACTGGATCACAGAGCTCCCTTTGTCTCTATTTCCACCCCTTTTAAAAATAATTAATATGCTAGAAGCAACATATACACAGGACCCTGTTTGATATAGGCAAAAAAAATTTGTACACACATTGCACCTGTTTCATTTAAAAAAAGGGTGATAGAAATATCTAATGTCTGCTGAATCCCTTGGCACCACTCTGGCCAATCAGAATCTACTTGCATCATTGGAAAATTAAGATTGACAGTTTACTGTTCGGGCTGTATCTCCAGGTCAGCATAGCACCCTCTTCTCATGATGTATGCAGTGGTATCCCTTTTTACAAATTTGTCTTGTGTACTAGTTCTGACGAGTACAAGAATAAAAGCTTTGACTTTCTGCCTTCTTTTAGCAATATTCAAGTTCTCCATCACTAGGCAGTTTCTCAATTATGTAATTTCAGCTCTTGAACTCATCCTAACACCAATTTAATTTTCAACCCAAATCTGACCACATATCTTTTTCTCTTTCGTCCAAAGCTCAATCTCATTATTAATAGTTTTCCTTCATCAGACCCGTCCACTGACCTTCAAACTGATATCATTAACCCCCAGTCAAAAATCTTACATTCAGCCCCCATCTTTCATTTAAGTTTCTTCTCAAAGTTTTTAATCATGTCATTTCCCAGCTCTACACTTAACTTATCCCAAAGAATCTGAATCCCTTTGGACTTGATTCCAACTCATCCATAACATTAAGTCCACTCTACTGAACACTTAGAATTTGGGTAAAGTTGTCATATTAGAAGGTGCCAGTCTTGAAAAAAAATGATATGCTGAACTTGGGTTGTAAAATGAGGATTTGGCGTAAGTTTGATAATTTCTAAAGACAAAGCAGAAGAGAAAAATAACTTGTATGTAGTTACTGGCACTGATTTCAAAAGACCAAACTTGCTGCACCATACTCAAATAATTTTCCCTCTAGGGAGCAAAGTAAAACTGGACTGAAGCCGAAAGAATAAAGAGTGGCTTGGGATGCCATATAAGGCATGGAAAAGCAAAATACTAAATGGGATGTTGCATTCTTCAAAGACATGTCCTCAAAAGGATGCTTTTAACAATGATTATTTTAAATTACTGCTCACTGTTCAAGAAAAGGACATGCTGTTGAAGCTTTTCATCTTGCACTCATCAAGACAGAATACAACTTCGATATATATTTTAACATGCTCCATCATTTGTTTAAATTCACCTTTGAACTGAAGCAGTCAAACAAACTCCCTTTCCTCAATATGCTAGTTTAGAAATCTGCAGTCAAATCTTTCCTAATGTACTCGTCAAGATATGTATTGGGATTCCAAAAGTTTCACACACAAGACTGATGCCAAAACAGGGCATAGTGACGCAGTCCTGCAAGAGAATGGCAACCGTGTTAACAGCACTGTTCACTGTATATCATGTAATCTCACTGAATAGGCCTAAGACTGTTGCTTTCAATTCTGCCTCATCATCAGCGGTCCCTTGTGGATGAGGATGACTCTCTTTCACCTGCAGAGCGAGTCCGCAGAGTGACTGTACAGACTGATACTGCTACCACAGGCTCGGTTACACTTGGGGCAGGTGATGGTCATGGGAAGAGGTGGGTGGAGTATTGGTGTGGCAGCATGCTCCTTTCGCTGTTTTCGCCTGGCTTCCATTTTTTTCCCCCGATGGAAAGTCTTGAGGTGCTCGATGCCTTCCCAGATACTCTTCCTCCACACTGGACAGTCTTCAGCCAGTGACTCCCAGGTACACATGGGAATGTCGCACTTCGCTAGTGAGACCTTGAGGGTATCACTGAAGCACTTCCACTGTCCACCTGGGGCTCGCTACTGTTTCAAATCTGGGAGTAGAGCATCTGCTTGGGGAGTCTCGTGTCGGTCATGCAGATGACGTGCCCAGCCCATCGTAGCTAATCAAGGGTGGTCAGTGCCTCAATGGTGGGGATGTTGGCCTGGTCAAGGATACTGGCGTTGGTGTGCCTTTCTTCCCAGCAGATTTGCAGAATCTTGTACAGGCAGCATTGGTGGTACTGCTCCAGTGCCTTCAGGTGTCTGCTTAGTCCACGTCTCAGACCCAATAGGAGGGCAGGAACCACCACAGCTCTGTAAATCACAGGCTGGGCGTCCTATCCATGTTGTTGTTCTCAAACACCCTTTTGAGAAGGGTAAAGGCTGCACTAACACGCTGGAGGCGATGCTGGATCTCTTCATCAATAGCTGCTCTGGCCAACAGGACGCTTCCGAGGTATTGGAAGTGGTCAACCTTCTCGAAGGCCGCCCCATGGTCTTTGATGATCAGGGGTTTGCTTCACAATGCTGGGCTGGGTCGATGCAGGACATTCTCTTGCAGATGTTTAGGGTGAAACCCATGCTCTCATATGCATCTATAAAGGTGCTGACAATGGTCTGGAGTACATCCTTGGAGGTTGTGCATACACAAGCATTATCTGCGTGCTGCAGCTCGATGACACTGTTTGGGTGACTTTGATTTTGGCTTGAAGGAGGTAGAGATTGAATAATTTCCCACAGGTTTTGTAAGGTAGCTCCACTTCAGCGGGGAGCTTGTCGATGGTGAGGTGAAGCATTGCACCAAAGTAGATTGAGAACAGTGGTGGGGCGAAGACATAGCCCTGCTCGATTCCGGTCCGAATGGGGAATGGGTCAGTGGTGGGGCCATTTGTCATTACTATGACTTCCATATCATTGTGGTGAACGACAATGAAAAACTTCATGGTACAACCACAAGGCACTGCTTATCACACAAATGAATTACATGATATGATTATCAGTGTAGCTGTGTTGCTAGCTATGTGCGCTAATGTCCCATAGCCTGGTGGATAGTATTAATCAGCATGTCCCTTTGGCTCTTTGCAAAGGCACAGTATTAACTGTAGTCGACCTGCCTTTGCTGGCAAACCTCAGAACATAGTGTTCAACAACAGATGTGATTCCACCACTGGACAACACTTATTAGATAAACAATTACAATTCTGCTAAGAATAACACTAACAATTAAGATTATCAGTTGAGTTCACAACCGTGGCTCACTTACACATTCTAGAATCCACGTACTGTGTATTCAAGCACACGGCATTGCCAACCACACACTGCATCTTTTCAGTGAAAAAGCCATTCCTTTTTGTGTTCACCACAGCAATGCTTTGATCAGAGTCAACTTTCCTGGTTTGAATTAAAACCAAAGTTTGGCAGCTAACTGTTTCCTGGAACATTCTCTATGATAATGCTTCTGTCAATCAGAATTAATTTGCTAACCAATCAGTTCCCTCTTTCATGCAGTATTAATTATTATTCCCTTTAAATATTTTTGTTATTCTGTCCTAATGAGTGCAAGATGTAAAGCTCCGACCTCATATTGTGCATCAGCAATACTCAGGTCCAAATTACCAAGTGAATAGTAATAGTACTAACTGCATTTTTAAAATACTTGAAGCACAGCTCCATGTAATTTATCCAGTTCATCACAAAACCCCAATGCCCCACCCTCCACAAAAAGCTCCTTTGCCAAAAAGCAGAATTTTGTTTTTGTTTTCAGGATTACATGTAATATCTGGGGGGATTGCTAAAGTAATTTTTAAAAATTATATTTCTTACTCAAGGGTTATAACTTTTTTGTGAGCAAAGGATGCAATATCTCATTAGTTTTCAATAAAATGGAAAGGAATAGCAATTAAAAAAGTAGGAATTTTTAAAGTACAAGTGCACCTACCAATAATTGAAATCTGGGTTAATTGGTGAAAAATGAGTGTTGACATTGATGAAAATAATAAAACGTATTCCAAAGTATCCTGTACAGGTATTATTAACATTCTTTGTCATTCTGCATAATGGCTCGTGTGCTAGAATAAAATCTTTCAGACTATTTAAGTGGTTTATAAAGACTGAATTTGGAATTTCATTTAGCTAAAGTCTTCAGGTTAAAATAACTTAGAAAGAAAGAAAAACATCCATCAAAGAAGATTTAATCAAATGAAAAGAGTTACTAATATGCATACAGAAACATGAACTTTATAATAAATATATTAACAGGTCCAGGAATGAAACCAGATACTATCTTTAGCCTAATTTAACATAATATAGTTTGAATGAGAGTCATTTAAACAATAACATCTACAAGCAGCTATAAAATTATAAAAGAAAGAGTGACCTCCATTTTTAGGTTCCTACAATCATCTTTCCAGGTTCATTATACTTAATGCTTTGCTTCAGGATTGAGGGAAATTCAACCCATTTGCTTCTAAACCTCTATCAATAGTATGCCTGCTCAAATGGAACAGAATAGGCAATTTAGCCTCTCATGTCTCTTTGGTCATTTAGTTGAATCATAATGGATCTGCATCTCGACTCAATTTACTAATTTTTAATCCACATCAAATTATAGATATTTCTAATCAACCTGTTCAGACATACTATCACACACCTCTGGAGCAGGTAGGACTTGATCCCAGGCCTCCTGGACAGAGGTAGGGACACTAACCCGACACCACAAGACCCACATTCAATTAGACTCTTACCTAACAAATATGTTGATCTCAACTGACTCCCAACATCAACAGCCCTTGTGGAATTCTATTTTCCAAATTTCACTACCCTTGAACTTGGAAGTAAAATGGGTTCTTTGATTTTTCTGCTTACTGGAATAGCTTTAATTTTAAGATTAAGCCCTCTTGGTCTGGATTCTGGCTGCTTCCTTGTACCAACTCCATCATTTCAAACAGCTGTTTAAGATCATTCTCTGCTAAACAGCAACAGAATAAAACGTTTTGAGCAGAGAGAAAATAAAAATCAAACTTACTCCTTCTGTACCAGACTGAACTTGCCCGTTGATATTCAATGTTCTAAAAGGTGAGTGTGCTGAGAGACGTTTATCCCATTCACTAGGGCGTGGTTCAGGTACAGACTCCATAAAGCTGCGCTTCAGTTCACTAATACTAGCATGATGTTTCATGATCTCATCCTGGGTTTTGTCTAGATCCTATTACAAACAAATAAGCAAAAAGGAGAGGATCTTAAATTTCAGAAATACTGAGTCTAATGAAATAGAAAACTCCACCCCCTTATAAAATGGACCACCAGGTTACTTAGGCAATCCATTATTTTGATAAATTAATTAAGCATAAACAATAAATTTGATTTTATTTCTAAAATGGATTTTTTTATCCATTAAGGTACTTAACTGTTTTTTCCCCAAGTTAGACTTCTACTGCCATTGTCTGTATTAAGTTACAATAAAGAACAAAGAAAAGCATTATTTTTTAACTGTTTTCCCTTCTATCCAAAAATGTTCCTTTATTATCATAGAATCCCTACAGTGTAGAAACAGGCCCTTCGGCCCAACAAGACCACACTGACCCCTGGAGCATCACACCCAGACCCATCCCTCTTATAACCCACCTAAGCTACATATCCCTGAACACTACGGGCAGTTTAGCATGGCCAATCCACCTAACCTGCAAATCTTTGGACTGTGGGAGGAAACCAGAGCACCCAGAGGAAACTCACACAGACACGGGGAGAATGTGCAAACTCCACACAAGACAGTCACCCGAGGGTGGAATCAAACCCGAGCCCCTAGTGCTGTGAGGCAGCAGTGCTAACCACTGAGCCACCATGCTGCCATCCTTGTTTAATAAAAAGCGTAAGCATATTCCTGGCAATGGCAGGACAGCTGGTTTAACATTGGTTACAGTTCAGCTTTTAGAAATACTAACCAGCAATAAATTCAACAGCAGCTTGGAGAGGATCGAGTTCAGTGGGGAACACCAGCACAGATTTGAGCAAGATAGGTAGCGCTTGTCTAATCGAAATGGAGTTTTGAAGTGAAGGTTAATGAAAGGAATGAATTGTCCATATGAAGAAAGTGTTTTGACAAAGTTCCACATAAAAGGCTGGTTAACAAAAATCGAGGCTTGTGGAATACGAAGATCAGTGTCAACAAGAATGTTTGCCTAAGAATGAGGTAAATGGTAAATAGTGGTGTTCCATGTGGATCAGAGCTTAGGATCACTGTATGAAGTCCCACCATTTTTGGGGGTGTGTGTTCCTGAACAGTGTCACACATGCATGTTTCCTCTTGGAATAT